TTGAGATGAAATGAAATGGGATTCATAAATTTTGATAAGTTTTGTTGATTTTTTATGATTTCCTCTTTGACCTGATTTTGTGAGGCGTCTTTATTTATTTTATACTCTTTTCTACTTATTTCTTACTTAACCATTTTATTTAAATTTTCTTTTTGCCAATTGATTGTGCTTAATTTTTCTTTTCATCTTTTATTTAACTCCTCTCATTAAATTATTTCTTTATTTCGTTTTCATCTTTTGTCGATGTCCTTTGTTATCCTCACATTATTCACGAATTTTCTCATCTTCTCTTTATTCCCTGATTTATTACATATTAATCCATTCCTCTATTTATTTATATTCATATGTCTAAACTCTTTCTACTTGCCTTCTTTATCACCTGCTCATGTTTCTCTACTCCTCATTCTCTATATTTCTCCTACTTTGCTTACCACACTAAGTTTCTAATGGTCTAATTTACCATTGTACTTTGAGCATCTTAGCATGGACTCCTTGAAATTTTGGTCGTTCTCTCCATTCTATGAGCACGCACTTCTGCTAATATCCACCTTGCCAACATACGGCCTCCAGTCTTGATCTGCTCTATGCTGAATCATATTTTGCAAGCTGTATCGATATTTTTGCTCAAAGTATCTGCTGGAAATAGAGTTTCTATTCATAGTTGTTTGGGCTCGAACAGTTTCTAGGGAAATTAACCCTATCGGCTGCTTTTACTGGAGATCACAGCCTAATGTTATTCCAATTTGGAAACAGGCCTGCAGACTATAATAGATGTGTTGCCCAAAATTCGGTGTGAAATTGTTAGAGAACTGTGAACTTTTCAAAAGAACTTGCGCTAAATATCCTCTATGATTTCAATGACCTCGTATTTCTGACTAAATTTCAAGGTTGTCAGAGACTTGATTTAGAAGTGGTATATTCGTTAGATGAGCAGACGATAGAGAAAAATAATTACTCGAAGGTATGAAGACCTTAATTGTGTGGCGTTTTGTGTGTTCGCAGTCTCCTTTCGTTGTATAGAAGTTGTTTGATCTTGTTTTCGCAACATAGTCATATTGATAGAAAGACTTAGAGGAACGCACCTAGTCGGAAGTTCATTGTTTGCATGATCATTTCCAAAGTTGAACCGTGGACGTGGTACATTCCCAAACGTTTCGCCGGCATCGTAGTCGGCATCATCAGTGAGTCCTGCCATTCTTATTACCACACAACAACTCGTCAAAGAGACAAGTGAAGCCCATTCTTTGACCAAACGTGTGCTAAACAGTTATGGTATCTCCCCAATGTGACCGTGTTGCGAAAACAAGGTCAAAGAAAAAGAATTATTTTCCAAATTATCGTGTCAAGATGTGTCACCTGAACTCGTTTCTCCAAAATACGAGCAACACCAGCCGCCCTCCTCTGAGCCTTCACAGGATCGTCTTCCGGCGTGCCACTGGATCCCGACCGATGATCTTCGCCGGGGAATTGGTCGTTTGTTCGACCTCCAGTGGCTCGTGTACATGTCGACTCGGTGGTCTGGCCTTGACAACCGGCTCCTGGCACATGTGACGGCCAGTCGAGTCGATGCGACGTCGGCGAAGATACCTGCATATCAATGGAGGTCATCGAGACTGCCCCCAGTCGACCGAGGTTGGACGAGGCTGTAATCCGAGTTGAGGCACCTTGGTTTGGACACACTGAAAGGAGGGATTCGGGCCTACGCGCCGGGCCGTTCAGGGTAGGATGGTGAATGCCGTCCTCGGCTGCAGCAATCGTGGGACTCGCTTCTTTGCCCCCTCGTCTCGATTTGCCATAACTCGTTTGCCCACTTCGTCGAGGCCCCGTCCACGACGGACTAGCAGATGGGTCATCCTCAAAGTCATCCGGGCTGTACAGTTCACTGGGGTCTGGTAGACCCTTGTTTGCACTCCTGTAGGCCTTTACAGACTCCTCGGCACCGGGGAGACAAATCGTGGAGGGAGCGGGTGTGAGCAACACTCCGGGGCTGTTAGTCTGCTCCAGACAGCGAATCAACGCCATCTGTTGACGCGTTTGCTCCAAATGGGAGAGGTGAAGTTGAGCTTCAGCCAGGCTGCCGGTCAACTCCATCTCGCGGAGACGCTGACACACCTCAAATTCACGATGCTGTTGCCATGGTACATGCGATGTGTGCATGCAAATGAGTGATTTGAATTGTGTTTCAAAAACAAATGGATTAATACTCGTCTTCGTGTGACTCTGAGGCTTTAAGCATGTTTGGTATTCTTGTTGGATTAAATTTGATACAACTGTAATCAACTTAGGTTAAATAAGGTAATGACAGAATGGTTGTTAAATTTGACATGAGATGAGTAGGACCGCCGATGTAAACAAATTTCTCTTGGCTTTGTAAGGTCAAAAGTGTTTGCTTCCAGAAAGAAATGCAATTTTGAC